AGGCCCCAAAACCAAAGAAAAACCCTTGCTCAAAAAACCAAAAAAAAAAAAAAAAAAAAAAAGCAAAAGCAGCACTGTCGTGTCACATTGGAAACAGATGGGCTCCCGGCTCCTCTGGACATCCCCCAGGACCGCCAGGCGGGCTTCTTCCTCGGCACCAGTAGTAACTGGTGCTTGCTCTGTGGTATGAGCTCCAATCAAAAGCAGGGAGAGTTTACACGAGGTGGGGATGTAAACCTTTACATTTATGAATGAACTAGAAGGCTCGGTTTTAGTTGTTTTGTGTTCTTTATGGTTTACAGAAAGCAGTTTTAGAAGTTATGTATCATGCATTGTTTTGACATGCTATACAGTAGAAACAGTTGGTGCTCAGGGTATGGTAGCCACTGGACTAGTTACTAGTAAAACACTCAACTGGTTTGGAAATATACTGAATTCTTACTTTCTGCCAACTATTCATGTGCTGTTTTCTTTCTTTCTCTCTCTCTTTCTTTCATTTGTCTGTCCATCCATCTGCCTGTCTATGTATTTGTCATGTATGCATGTGTACATGTGTGGAGGTCAGAGGTTGATGTTGGCGTCCTCCACCTTGTTTTTGGGACAGGATAATTCACTGAACCTGGAGGCCACTGGTTTGGTTAAACTGGCTGGCTTGTGAGCTCCCATGATCCTTCTGTCTATGTCTGCACAGTGCTGGGCTTACAGGTACAGGCCAGCATGCCTGGCTCTTCCTGTGGACACTGGAGTTATAAATGAAGAAGATCCTCAGCCTATATGGTGAGGACTTTACCCAGTGAGCCACCAACTACCCTCTAGTCTCTCATTTTCACAAAGGACTGAAGACAGAATGAACAAATAACTTTCTAAATAATTAAAAAAGATTCCCGACACAAGTAGTTGTGGGTGGATTTCTGTTGGCGGGAAAGGACTCCACTCATGCACATAGCTGCACACACTTGTAACATTCACTGGAAGGAATGTTGACTCTTTTGCTTTGAGTCCACCCAACCTTGCTCTATGCTGGATCTTGCTTGAATCTACAGTGAAGCACATTTGCAAGGTTTCCCAGGTTGTTTCGAAGCCCAGGGATTATTGTTTTTAATTGCATTAGGGAAGGCTGTCCTAGGCGGGACCTTGAACACAACTCAGCCCTGGGAAGCTGGCAAACACACCAGGACAGGAAAACAGGATGTGGTGCCTAACCAGAACGTGCACAAAGGTGGTTCCTTGTCCAATCACACTGATTGCATGCACACGAGAACAGGTTAGACCTGTCTCGTTGATTGTCCTATCACCTGTACAAGGAACATTCCTGGCGTGTCTTACACCCTCACTATCATGTGCTAATTAAATGATAGGCTTGTATTTATCCATCTTCCTTGAAGAGGTTTCCCAACACAAGCTACCATAGACCTTATAGTGATACCCAGTAATGAAGGGAATAACGTACTGACCTGCAAGAGGAAGATGCTCCAAGCCATTTAACTAGGAACAGAAGCCAAACACACTCGACTAACTACTGTAAGGCTCCATTTGTATGGAATGTGTTGAAAAGACAAAAGTATATTTTAAAAGCTCATATTGGGATAAATATTGGAGGTGGGCATGGGGCTTTATGTCAAATAGACTTGAAGGAAGTTTTTAGTGTTATGGTAGTATTCCAAAACTCAATGATGGTAATGATAGCACAAATTTACTAAACGCCCTTGAACTGTATACTTCAAGTGGGTGATTAATAAAGCATCAATAAAACTGCTAAGCATTTTTTTAAGAAAGCATGTTCTAAAAGTCTTGGTCTTACCTAGCTGGAACATTTATTGCTTTTTTTAAAATTGTAGTCACACTCAAGATTCTATCATTTTATACAGTGATTTCAAAACATCTGCTTTCTTTGTATTTCTTTTCCCATTCTTTATTTTCTCTCCATGGATTATAATTTTTCTAGTTATATTTTCTCCCCCTACAACTGGGAAATGATATAATCTGCTGAAGTTCTCAGTTACCCAACATGCTTCCATATGGATACTTGCAAGTCACCATTTGGGGCTAAGAGCCAGTTCTTTTCTTGAAAATACCAGGAATTCAGAACACATTCACCATGGTTGCCAGTGTGGTATCTCTATGTTTTATATTTAATATTTTCATTACTCACACATGCCATCTTTCCTCTTTTCATTTTTATTGTATTTCTGACTTGTCGTCTGTCAAATTTTCTCAAAATAAATTTTTGAGCTAGCAGATTATTGTAAAGAGTGAAACTGGGAAGCCAAACTGCTTTTCTACTCCATCCCAGACTGTTTTTTATCTCCTCAGTAGATGATCTGAAGCAGAAGAACTCTTGGCTACATACTCAGGGATGTGTGTGGAAAGAAAAAGAGGCAATATTAAACCTGGTAATTTCTCAAACTAGCCATTGCAGAGAGGAGGATTATGTAATCCCATCCTCTCTGGATATGTGGTGGTCCAGACCAGATTTTCTCCCACCTGCAGCCAGCAGCCTGCAGATTCAACTTCCTCCACGTCTGTCAAGTTCCCCAGAGTTAATAAATAATTACTCAGAAAGGATTATAAGCAGATCACAGGGAACTTAGATTTCACTTGTGAGTATGCATAGATCTTGTGTTTTTTGTTTTTTGTTTTTCTTGAATATTATCTTGAAGGCAGTGGGAACAGTCCTATGGAGCTTATAGGACAAGATTTACTCAAATACACATCTCTCTGTTTATGGACTTTCTGCTTTGCGATGTTTATTGCTAGGCAGATGGAGCAATAAGGCAAACAATTGAATGTCCTCTAATACAAAGTTGTTTAGATACTGGTAAGCCTGGGCGAGGTTGTGTGATGGGAAGAAAACATGTGAGATAGTTTTGAGGCTTCCTCTTGGACAGAAGGCCCTTTCAGAAGTGTGGTTAACGTGGAACAGTCTTCTAGGTTTTCTAGGTTTTCTACTACCTTTACAAGGCTCTCCACTGTGTCCCTGCACAGTATCTGTGAGGCATTGGCTCGGAACTTCCTCTGCAGGTCCTCCTGGCTCAGTGGTTTCCTCCAGTGACCATAGAAGGTATCAGAGCGCTCCGTGAAGGTGGTCCCATCCTTAAGAGTGATGCTGATCTCACAGTACAGCGAGTTAAAACTTGGCAGGTTGTCAGGTGGATGTTCCAGCTCCACTTTCCTGAGCAGCTCTCTCACCTGTGGCCTATTGATCTGCTGGCTGTGGAAGGACGGCACAGTGACACTACCATCGAGCAGCATGGCACAGGCCACGTACTGGAAGGAGTGACGCGCCTCATGCTCCGAGTCTGGGAAGGGCCTGTTTACATACTGGACCTCGGGGACCCTGAGCACAACCCTCTCGATGTGGTCGGTAGGAAGCCCAGCTCTTTCCGAAACCACAAGGTGCTTTCTTACAGCTGCAGCCGCATCTGCTGCCCAGTGTGTAGCCAGATGTGCGGGGAAGCTCTTGAAGGCCACGTCCTGCTGATCCAGCAGCCAGATGTGAGAATTCGGGCTCGGAAGATCGTCCGGGGAGTAGTTGGCATAGAAGGCCCCAAACCCCGACTCCAGGTCCAAGATCCTCTTGTTTCCTTGGAGATCCAGCATGGCCAGGAATGTGGCTTCCATGCCATGTTTGGCTGCATTGCCGATGTGAAGGGGCTTGGTCTGAGTGGCAGCATTTGCCATGGGTGCCCCGGCGTGAGAAACGGCAATAGCCAGGGCCTCTCGGCACTTTGTCAAGCTGAGCCCCAAAAACTTGGATGCAGCAGCAGCACTCCCCAATGTTCCCACCACAGAGGGAGGGTGGAACCTGAAAGGTAAAAGCAAGAAATTCAACCAGTGAGGGGGTGGACAAGGAAAATGTGGTACTTACAGACAATGGAATATTTCTCGGCCATAAAGAAAAACAAAATCACGAAATTTGCAGGCAAATGGATGGAAGTGGAGAAGATTACATTAAGTGAGGTCACCCAGGCCCAGAAAGACAAAACCACATATTATCTGTGATATGTAGACTGTAGCTTTGAATCTCTTGGTTAATGTGTGTAACCTGGGGTGCATGTGGAAGCCAGGATACTAGAAACAGGCCATGGGGCATGGATACCTGAAAGGAGAAGGGAGAGTAAAATAGAGATAAAATGAAAGCAGAGAGAGAGAGAGAGAGAGAGAGAGAGAGAGAGAGAGAGAGAGAGAGGGAAGGCTTCAAACATGGCAGCCATGGAGAACAGCAAAATGAGATGTCAGCAGTTAATCAAAAAGAAGGGAGCAAGCAAAAGCTGTATGGAAACCTACGGTTTTCTAACCCACAGAAAACCAGACAGGACAGTAGAAAACAAGTGGCAAGAAAGGAGTGGAGGCACACTCAGGTTAAAAGTCCAAGTGACGATACAGGGCTTGGCGAGCGGAAAAAGCAAAAGCAGGGGCCACTTTAGCCAAAACTAAGGATACATGAAGAAGCCTGATGAGAATCCACTACTTTGTAAGCTAATTAAAACTCCACAACATTTTGTAAGTAAAGGAGGGTTAACGGAAGTACTCTGCATGGACAGACAATGCCTCTCCCAGAAGAAAAATCTGTGTCAGGCAAGGGATACCTCCCTATGAGCTGTTGGTCAGAGAGTCTCAGAGGGACCCAAAACAAGGCAAGCTATTGCTATTGCTCTTGGTTACCAATGGTAACCACATTGTGCGACCCTATAGCTGAAGACATCACTCGTATTGGGTGCAGGACATAGAGGAATCAGCCTCAAACTGACCAGGAAACTCTCTCTGCCAGGCAGCTAGTCCCAGAAGGTGCTATTTAGGCTGCTGGGGGGAAAAGACACCCAATGCTACATCACTAAGTGTTCTGCTGGCAAATGCACCCACTGGTGTAATAGGGGCATGAAAATCATGGGGTGACCAATTCCTTTCTAAGTGGGTTTGAGAGGGATAGATTTTATGCCTGGCACTGTAAACCTGGTCAAGGCCCATGACTGGGGGGATCGTAGGTCCTGGGGAGGACAGAGGGTTGAAGTCTACCATTGTTTTGCCAAATGGTGACACTGCCAAAGTGCATTCTAAATGTTCATGTTCGCATCTATAGATTTGTGCTGCTATCAGAGAAGCTTCTCTTTTATTTTTGCAGTGGGCAGTGACTGATGCACAGAGACTCACACATGGTCAATGTGCTGATTATAAACAGTTCTGAGAACTCAGCTGCTGACAGGTTGCCCATCTAGACCAGCTTCCCGCTGTCCAAGGCTCAGGAACTTCAGAGAGGAGGGGCAAGAAATAACCTAAGAGCCGGCAGGTGGGAAGAGAGCTGTAAAATGTGGACGTCTAGATATGACATGTCCATTGCACACACAACTCACAGCAGCTGTGGTTACTCCCAAGACCTGCACAAGATCAAGCCAAAGTTCCACACCCATCGGTGTGGGCAATAGGCCCCACCCTATGGGAGAAATGCTGCAGCTGATGACTACTGAGGGAGGGAGAGGCACTCTCCTTTGAGGATGTGGCCCTAGTGGGTGATCACCCACCCATGCGTATATGGGTGGCCCTAACTGGACTCGGGGCTACTAATAAAAAAATAAGGAAGAAGACATGCAGTTAATAGGAATGAAGTAGGGGACACAAGGGGTACTTGGACAGAGGATGTGATCAATATACAATGAATAAACTACGAACTTTCAGAGAATAAAAACGCAATTCAAAAATTACAGAGGCTGGAGATATTGTCCAGCATGTAAGAGCCTGTACTACTCTTGCAGAGGTCACAGCTTTGGTTCTAGCCTTACAACTCGTGGATCACAACTGCCCATAACTCCAGCTTGAGGGGAATCCAGTGATACCCAGAATACTCCTGGATGCAAGTGACAGGAACCACATTGGAGTGACACACCTCCAAGTTGTCTTGTTGTCTTCGTAGCTAGATTGGATTTACAAGCCCAAGGGAAGTTTTTACAATCATTTCCAAATCACTTGTTTCTGTATGCATATAGAGCTTGTTACGTGACTGAAAGTGGTCTATCTTGCAGCAGTAATAACAGTTGCAGAGTCAGCCCCTAAGCCAGACAGCTCTACACAGACAGCCACTGACAGACAGAGGGCGGTGTGGCTCTGCTGGATGGGTGGGTGTAATCTCTCTCTCTCTCTCTCTCTCTCTCTCTCTCTCTCTCTCTCTATACCTCTTTGGTATGTCCTTGGCTTCCTTGGAGAAGTGCATTAATCGTCCTTGTACTTCAATACCAACATTGAATGCCAGCAGCAGGTCAAGGCCAGAAAACTTTGGAGTCTGAGGCAGGGCTTCCGATAAAGCTGTGAGGACCGGTAGGACGGCCCCAGAAGGGTGGGTCGCAGGGTGCCACGTGTCATCAAAATCCATGGAGTGAACCTGTAAAAACAGATGCAAACAACCCTCTCAGAAATGCTCTTAGGTGCACTAGCTTTTGGACTGGCTAAAGATTCAATTTGGTAATGACCTTGAGAGGCTTGAGGACCCCATTATCAGAAATTATACACTAAAAATTGACTGGGATTCTTTTTTAAAATTAATTAATTAATTATTATTGAAAAGCTCATACAGTATATTTCAATCATGGTTTCCCCTTTCCCAACCCCTCCCAGGGCCTCCCCATCTCCCAAACCACCCAACTCCATGCCTTTCTCTCTTTAACAAACAAATAGGCAAACAAACAAACACAAAAACCTACCAGAGTAGAATTTTAAAGAAAGAAAAGTAAAAGTGCAAATTGACATCATTTGCAAAGAAAAAATAGTTTTCTCCAATGGAGTCTCACCAGTATATTAACCCCACTTAAGGGCAGGCCCTATGTCGAGTTGTAACTGGCTGTGATTCTTAACCAGAGGAAGGCAGGACCTTGGATAGGAGCCAGTGATGTCCTGGAGGATGCTGAATTCTGCCCTGGGGACCACAACTCCTGGAGAAATCTATATTCTCCCTCACAAGACTAGCTGAGCTTCTCCCTTCACCCTTTAAACAAGTCACACTAAAAATTCAGCATCATGTATTATATATTAGGCCGTATATTTTTGTGTCTCTGTCATGAAGCAGTTTTATCAAAGTTGCAAGAAGAGCAAAGAGCTCTCAAACCTACATTAGCTATTAAGCTGTATTTTCAAGTGGTTACTTTTTCTCCTTCTCAACCCAGCCGTTTGTTTTTTCCATATATTAAACAGTTAGTAATAACCAGAAGTTCATTTAAACATAGATTTTATGTCTGTCTGATGTGGCCTGTGTGTTTCTTATTGCCATGCCAGTGGGTTTAGTTCTGTTAGTCTGAGCTGCCATCCCCACAAACTAGTTAATAAATCTCTTGAGTCCCAACATGCTCATATCTATACTATGTCTTGTAGGCTTTTCCTGACACACAGGAAATAACATGAAAATTACCTGTCAGATGAGAAGTTCTAATTTTTCATTGAGAAAATAGAGACACTGTGTGACCATCATTGTTTCTTTCTGAATAAATACCCAAATGACTAAATGGAGAGAACATTACTATACAGACAGGTACTGGGGCCCACAACAAGAAGCCGTTATGTCTGGATCAAGAAGCCATTATGTCTGGATCTTGGATTACATATGCATCATACATTTTCATTATATCCATTCAAGGTCCAGAATTAGAATACCTTAAGGCATTTTTAATCTAGATCCTTCTACTTTATAATTTGTTGGAAAAGTTCCATTTTATTGTAGAACCATGAGCATGAGGACAAAGGGCAGGGCATGCCAGATCTCTGGAACTCAGTGATCTCCTTTGTAAACAAATTTCCTCCCTCTGAAGCTCTAATGATTTATTAATAGGAAAAACCGGTAAACTTCCTTACAGCAACACCGTTCACAAAAGCAGCATATGTGGGTGGGAGTCTGAAGTCTGGTCGACCCCAAACAGTGCTGGAGGTATTGGAACTGTAGATCTGGAACAGAAGAAAACCTGTTCATGCAACAATACACTGAGTTGACATCTCGAGAGTTATACTCCATCCTCTGGGCACCCTGGCATCAGGCCTCACCACACCCTCAAGAGGGCAGCCTAGCTGGTGGGCAGTCTCTCTACCTTGCCAAGGAAAACACATTCATCTTCTAAGGGAGAGGAGACTGAACTGCTTATCCCCAAGTTATGATCTAGAAGCTCTACTCAAGGAGCCTGAATCCACTCATATTTGTTTTAACTTCTAGGATTTTTGTGTTGAAATGTATTTTTAGTCATACAAGTAAACAGCCTTGAGATATTACCAATGAATGGTAATAAGACCTGACTTAGTAACAGATAGGCATGAACTTTATGAAACAAAGGGACTCAGAAAAATGTGTGGAACAATGCGACACATATCAAATGCAATCAATCAAACCAAGTGCAGAGCAAGCTAAACCCAGGCACAGACTTGTGGAGTATGCTTATACACACGCTGGCCTTTTATCTTGAAAGTAAACTTTGAACTACTTACTTTACTATACTGGGTGACTTTGTGAAACACTTCCGTGCCTGTTCCCAGGAAACCAACGCCCAGGGAATCCAGGATCATCCTCTTGCTCCTCTGAATGACACCCTCTGTCAGGTGGTCCACTCTCAAGCCATGAATCATGCTGGCAAAGCTCTCTGTGACAGACTTCAAAGTGGAGAAGGTCAGAACAGCGAGCCTAAGAGACCATGAGGTAAAGACTTTTTTTTTAGGATTTCTTTATTTATTTTGTATACAGCGTTCTGTGTGCACATATGCCTGCAGACCAGAAGAGGGCATCAGGTCCTATTAGGGATGGTTGTGAGCCACCATGTGGTTGCTGGGAATTGAACTCAGGACGTTTGGAAGAGCAGTCAGTGTTCTTAACCCCTGAGGCATCTCTCCAGCCCTGATGTAAAGACTTTTGTACCATGAGAAGAAACCTGGTTGGTGTGATTGAGTTTGCTTTCTAAAAAGGTGGTGTGCACTTGCACATTGGGCAAGAGGATGTGGAAATATACAACAATTAAGTCCTTTGCCCAGTCACACTGATAATGCGGCTGCTTAGCGGATGATGACAAGAGAGCATGGTGGAGGACAGTGAAGGGAACCCCAGACAGGGGAGGAGGGAAGGACATTGTGCTCTGTGATCATTGTATGTCAAAGGAGTCTGCCTCTGCTCAGAGACCAGACATGAGCTCCTGGGGTAGGATAATCTGTGTCTCCTCAGAGGTAGTAGAAGACTTTGCAATTCCTTTAACTGTTAAGCCCTTCAATGCACAAGGAACACTTTTGTTTCTATATGCCTTAACAGGAGAATATAGCTTAAAAATATCCACTAGAAGGGATCTCACCACATGCCCAGCACTGAGTTCTTGTAATACACTACTAAGTAGTTTACCTTTCCTTGTCTGATGATCACATTATTGCCTAACTTCCTTTCTGTCTCCGACTGTAACATCCTTTGTTTACAAATGGTACCTGGAGGACTTACCAAGTTAAGAAATCCTAGCGTCTGAGGTCCCTTACACTGGGCTCACTATCAAAGTAGAGTTACAGAGATGGAACCAGTGCCTACATGGAAATCCTCCACTTTGCTACCCATGAGTTTTTTTCTTTTTTTTCTTTTCTTCTGATGCAAGGTCTTTCAGTGTGGCCCTGGATAGTCTGGACTCTCTATCTAGCTCAGGTTGGCCTTGAACTTGTGACGATCTCCCTGCCTCAGCCCTAACCCCATCCTTAGAGTCTTCAGATTTATCCGTCAATGAAAACTGTCATTTTCAAAAGAATGGAGCATTTGTTGATCTTTAAAGCTTTGATAGGAAATGAAGAGAGCTTGGAGTAGGAGAAAGCAGGAGAGGAGATGGAGACCACTGAGAGAGCAAAAGGATACTGTAACCGATGTTTCTGGTTAGGGCAGAGGAAACCCATAATACTGCTTTTCATGCTGGTAAATATTTTGACAAACATTTTACATGCAGAAGAGAGAGGGAAGGAGGGAAAAGAATGGACTTAATAATTTGCTGACTTAATTTCCAAGTACCCGTTGAACACTGGATGGCTGAATAGCAGGGGAGGGGCACCCGCACAGAACCTAAGGTGTAGGGTAGCATTAGAAGGCCGTGCTCAGATAACTTATGACACTGAGACCAGTGGGCTCCCCCAATGGTGCTCAATATGCAGTGAACCAAAGAACAAACCACCCTCCCTGACCTTGAAGGGAGAGACCAGGAGGAGAATAATCACTACTGCTCTGCTCTCTGAGTCATACTTCACCTACATGTCAAATGTCTTGCTGGTGTCCTTGACTTTATAGCAGCATTTGCATATCATTTTGGTGGACACCGTGACTAAAGTACAGATTAAAGCAGAGCATGGAGTCATTCACTTAACAGCAAATGTCGGGAGCCCTTGTGAACTCATGATGCATACCTCTCTAAACTGCCAAACTGCAAGTGAGACTTTTTGACTCAACAAGCTTACCAGGAGATGGCAGGGAACATGACAGCAAACAGATAATTAGAGATGCAATCTGTTTGGATCACACAGAGGACACATACAAAACCAAGGGTTGAGATTCAGTGAGCTTACAATGACATACTTTCTTGCTAGGTGTAAGCAATGGGGATAGTGCCTCTTCATTTGTCAAATGCCGATGAGAACTGACAGGCAGCTCATTAGGCAGCCCAGAGGCTGAGAAAAGTTAAAATGTCATTCATTTCTGCAGCAGAGCAGGTAGCTTTGAAAAGTCCAACCCATCAAGAAAGGAAGACTCAAGCGAGGAAAGCAATCTGGGCAAGCTACAGCAAAGGTTACAATACCTTGAGCATCCTGCTGTTCTGGAAGAGGAACTCTGGCTCAGGAGTGAGCTGCAGGAAGGAGCACTGCTGGCTGTGTGCCTTTATCCACTGAGTGCCTTTATACCCACTTTCTTCCCTTTCGCTTTTGTTTTAACCATGGAATTTCCATCATTTCAACACTTCCCAGATTACCTCACTTAGACTTCTTTTGTAATGATGTACTGAGGCCACTTGTAGCTGGAGAATTGAAGAGAGGAAGCTGTATAGTAGTCAGGATCTTATGATAATATAAATCATAATATGATAATACAAATATAAATATAAATACACATACACATATATTTATTGTTGTAAAGGGATGGACTGTCCATCTGTGCTGGAGACCATATGTCGTATCAGAAGAGCACACACTCTCTTTACTAGGTATCCCACTCCTGAAACTTTATCATAAGGAAATAAGCACAAATATGTTAAATGTAGAAATAGCCCCAGAACCCGGAGGGCAAAAGGAGTGCCTTACAATGGCTTGCTCATTGACAGCCCACTGTCACCATCCAGCAGTCAGGGAGCCAGCTTCTGGGAATGATGCAAACAAACAAATAAACCAAAAACCAAAAACCAAAAACAACACAAAACAAAAAAACCCTGGCTGGCTAACAGAAGGAAACTCAAGCCTGGTACTACAAATGTAGCCACTAACCAGTGGCTGACGACGTCATAAACCCAGAAGAGAACCCATTACTGCCATTTTTTCTAGACTGAAATAACTTCTAGCTATATCCTGAATACTTGACCTTATGCCCACAGATCAGCATAGCTCTCAGCCTCTTTTTGCACACATGGACGCTATTAAAGAGATCCACAGTTAGACAAAATGCAAAGGATAAATGAGCGTGGGGTGCCCTGCCTTCATTAGTGTATGTCCAATGGAACCCTATGTCTAAGACTCAGGGACAACTGTGATAGAGGAGATGGAAATATTGTAGGAGCCAGAGGACCAGGATGCAGCTGCAAGGCAGTGTTTTCTAGACATGACAGAGAAGCTGCATCCATGAAATAGCAACAGTATGTTTGCCCAAACCATACCTGCATACAAATAACACCAGCTGACATGCTATCACAGATGGGGAAATTTCCTCAGATTCTCCTCAAATGAAGAGTTATATGCAATCAATGGCTTCTGAGAGAAGGAGTATTGGTTTCTCCAGGGATGAGCTCCCTGATGTTATTCGATCAGAAGCAGTCAACCCTAAATACATGAACATATAAGCAACACTAATTGATTTGTTAGGATTTATGTAAATATATGTGTTATATATATCGTGTGTGTATGTGTGTGTGTGTGTGTGTGTGAGAGAGAGAGAGAGAGAGAGAGAGAGAGAGAGAGAGAGAGAGAGACTTAGTGTTTTATTGCTGTGTTGAGACACCATGATGGCCATAGCACCTCTTATAAAGGAAAAAAAATTAATTGGGGATGGCTTATAGCTCAGGAATTCAGACCATTATCATCATGGCTGGAAGCATGGTGGCATGTAGGCAGATATGGTACTGGAGAGGTAGCTGAGAGTTCTATATCTGTATATGCAGACAGAATCAAGTGACTGTTACACACTAGCCAGGCTTGAGCTTCTGAGACCTTGGAAGACCACATCTCTTAATAGTGCCTGTGGGGGCCATTTTCTTGTAAACCACCGACCGCAGTGTGTATCAATAATAACTAAAGAAGAGATGAGGAATTTGTGAGGAATTGTGGCCAGAGAAGGAAGGGGAGAGAGAAGGGGTGGAATAATGTAAACACAGAAATTCTCAAAACACAAAACTACCCCTCTCCAACATACACCAAATAAGCAAACCAACCAACCCAAATTGTACAAAATCTTATAGGAAGAGCAACAGCAGGAAATGGAGCATGAGACCTGACCGGGAACTTTTTGTGGGCTCAGTGTTCTCCTAACCCTTAGGTTTGACAGCTCTTTCTGGATTGCCCCCATTTTGCATATTATTATTATTATTATTATTATTATTATTATTATTATTATTATTATTGCACACACATTATTATTGTCACTCAGGGGCCACCTGGTCGGTGTAGTAGAGGAGAACTCTGCAAATCCAGCCTTCACGGATGTTCCTTGGAAGAGAGGGAAGAGGAAGACTTTGGCGCCAGATGCTCAGCCAGGCTGGACTGTGGCTTTCTGCAGTCTCCTTGTTCTGACCTGTGCCCTGGCCCTCAGATGCTCCTCCTCTTTGTAGAAGAAAAAGAAACCTGAAGATGGACTCCTATTGGCAGCTGGCTCCCCACCCAGCCAGGGCCAGAAGCTTGGCTCCCAGGCTGCCTTTAAGGATTGCTGGAGAGGAGGCAGACTGGCCACACTGGAGGCTTCTGCCCCAGCCTTCAGGACTCTACCTGCAGCTGCAGGTTGGGGGACTCATTCCTCCCTTGGCCTCCAAGGCTCCAGGTTTTGGCCAAAGAAAGGAATTCATTCCGGCAGCTATTTGCAACCTCCAAGACGCGCAGCTTTGTACCTGTGGGAATGTGCAGCTCCAGCCTTCAAGACTGCCAGGGACAGAAGATTGTGCTCCTTCTGTTACCCCTGTCAACAACCAATGTGCAGAATTGCTCGGCCAGGGATGGATGTTGGCTACCAACCCAAAGCCCTCCAAGAGCTTTCGAACTGTAATACTTGCCAACAGTCTTGGCTGTCACTCTGAAGAGTGTTGGAAGCCAACGGCTGTAACATTTGTAACTTCGGGGCTGGGCACCTGAAGCTTGCTGAGAGTATAGGGCTCTAGCCCTCACATGGAATCTTGTTTGGCATCCTGCCGCCACCAAGGATCTCAGAGCATCTACTTTTCTCCAAGCTTTCT